CCCAAGCTTTTAGCTAGCTCGAAACCTGCAATCATGGCCTCATACTCGGCCTCATTGTTAGTCAACCTAGAAGTTTTGATAGACTGCCTAATAGTGCTACCCGTGGGCATCTTGAAAATGATGCCTAGCCCAGACCCCTTCACAATCGAAACACTGTCTGTGAAAAGGGTCCATACACCCGATGATGTGCCCGATTTTAACAAGAGTTCCTTTTCAACTTTGGGTACAAGGGTTGGCATGAAATCGGCCATGAAGTCCGCTAGAATTTGAGACTTGATGGTCGTTCGGGGAAGATACTCAATATTGTAACCACTAAGTTCGGCGGCCCATTTGGCCAATCGGCCCGACAGTTCAATCTTGTGCAAAATATTACGAAGTAGGTAAGTGGATAACACGCATATGGGGTGACATTGAAAGTATGGTTATAACTTTGTAGAAGCGCTTATCAGTGCAAGTGCCAATTTCTCTAAGTGTGGATATCTAGTTTCCGCTTCTCCTAAGGTTCGACTTACATAATAAATGGGAAACTGTGTAAGTTGCTCTTCTCGAACTAGGACACCACTTACCGCGATTTTCAATATTGCCAAGTACAAGTAAAGTTTCTCATCTGCCTTTAGAGTGTGAAGGAGTGGTGGGCTCGATAGGTATCACTTTAATTCCTCTAATGCATGTTGGTATTCCGGGATCCGACGACCTCGAGATGAATCGGCCTAAAGAAGCTATCCGTCCAGTCAGCCTCTACACGGCTTTTACACTGTCCACGATGGTGATGTCTTCGATGGCCTTGATTTTATTGGATTTGATCTCGATCCCCCGATTCGACACCATGAAGCCCAGGAATTTTCTTGAACCGACCCTGAAAGCACATTTCTCGGGGTTGAGCTTCATGTTATATTTCCTTAAAATCTTGAACGTTTCCTACACATAAGCCAAATGGTCCTCTGCACGCAGGGACTTAACTAGCATGTCATCAATATAAACTTCCATTGACTTACCTATTTGTTCTTCGAACATTTTATTTACTAGGCGTTAATAAGTAGCTCCTGCATTTTTTTAGCCCGAAGGGCATTATATTATAACAATATGTTCCATACTTGGTGATAAATAAAGTATTTTCCTGATCTTCTGGGTTCATTTGAATTTGATTATATCCGGAATAGGCATCGAGAAAGGTAAGGATCTCGTGGCCAGCTGTGGCGTCGATCATGCGTCAATGTTAGGCAGTGGAAAAGAATATTTGAGGCATGTCTTGTTTAAATCCTTATAATCTACACACATTCTAAGTTTGTTTCCCTTTTTAGGGACTACGACTACATCGACTAACCATTCGAGATATTTCACCTCCCGAACAGACCCTATCTTGAGAAGTTTAGTTACCTCGTCCTTTATGAATGTGTGCTTTACCTCAGACTGAGGTCTTCTCTTTTGCTTTACCGGTTTGAACCTAGGGTCCAGGATTAGCTGATGCGTCATTATCTCCGGTGGGATCCCTGTCATGTCTAAATGGGACCAAGCAAAACAATCTATGTTATCAATAAGAAATTGAATAAGCTTTTTCCTGAGTTTAGGAGTTAATCCCGTTCCCAGGTATACCTTTTGCTCGGGCAGGTACTCGATCAATATAACATGTTCCAAATCTTCGACCGTTGATTTGGTGGCGTCGGAATCTTCGGGAACAATAAAGGTTTGAAAGGTTTCGAAAATCCTCCTCTTTTTCTTCTATCTCTACTTCCCCGATTCGGTCGAGGATGGTGGTTGTGATTGCTATTTGGCTTCCTATTTATCTTTGATGTTCGACCTTTTCGAGGTTGATAACATCGATACCGGTGTTACCTCATCGACCACAAACATTTCCTTTGCAGCATGTTGCTCCCCGTATATTATTTTTACACCGTCCGACGTCGGGAATTTCATCATTTGGTGGAGATTCGAAGGGACTGCCCTTATATTATGGATCCAAGGCCTTCCGAGTATGGCATTGTACCTTATGTCGCCCTCGATCACGTGGAACTTGGTATCTTGAATGGTTCCAGCCATGTTCACCAGTAGAATAATATCCCCTTTAGTTGTTTCACTAGCAATATTGAAGCCATTTAAGACCCGAGCTACGAGCACAATTTGATCTTGTAGGCCGAGCTTCTCCACGACCCTTGATCGGATGATATTCGTCGAGCTACCTGGATCCACTAAAACACGCTTAACTTGGAATTTATTTAATAAGATAGAAATTACCAGAGCTTCATTGTGGGGCTGAGAAATGCCTTCTGCTTCTTCGTCGTTGAATGATAAGGAGCCTTCGGGCACATAATCTCGGGTTTATTTTTCCCCAGTGATTGATACCTTGGTGCGTTTAAATATGGGTCCATGTGGGATGTCGACCCCTCCGACGATCATATGAATGACGTGTTGGGGTTCCTCCTGTTCATTTTTCCTGTTGGCATCCCTTTCTCTGAAATGATTCTTGGCTCGATCGCCGAGGAACTCTCGAATGTGGACCTTATGGAATAGACGGGCTACCTCCTCTCTTAATTGTCTGCAATCCTTGGTCCTGTGACCATGCGTGCCATGAAACTTGCACATCAAATTTGGATTTCTTTGGGAAGGATCGGTTTGTATGGGTCTGGGCCACCTAGTATCTTTTATCCTTCCGATTGCCGATACAATGCCCGATGCGTCGATGCGTCGATGCTAAAGTTATATTCCGATAACCAGGGAGCCTCGGTAGGATCATCATGCTTATCAAAACCACTTTTGGTCATAAGTCCCTGAGAATTCTGTCCTCGATCACTTCTTCAATCATTCCGGGCGGAATTGCGTCCTGAACCATTGTTCCTTCGATTTGTGGTATATGGTTGATATCGTTCTCTATTCGACCTTGGCTCCCTATCGATATCCTCTGGGTCTTAATTGCCGACCTATTTGGATATACTAAACCGTAAAGGGCTCCTAATTGGTTGTCCTCGACCTTGATCTTCGATTGATATCGATTGTGCACATCTGCCCAAGTTACAGCTGGATACTCAATCAAATTTTGTATCAACTAACGTGATGCTATCGAACTTTGCTCGTTCAACCCTTGGGTGAAAGCTTGAACGACCTAATCATCTGTGACCAATGGCAACTCCATGCGTTCTATTTGAAATCGGATACAAGTTCCCTCAGCATTTCGTTATCCTTTTGTCTTACCCTGAAAAGGTCCGATTTTCTTGTTGCGACCTTTATGGCCCCGACATGCCTTTATGAAAGAATCTGCTAACATGGCAAATGAGTCGATGGAATGTGGCGGCAGGTTGTGATACTAAATCATTGCTCCCTTCGAAAAGGTCTCTCCGAAATTTTTCAAAAGCACAGATTCGATCTCATCATCTTCTAAATCGTTACCCTTGATGGCGCATGTATATGAAGTAACATGCTCGTTGAGATCGGTGGTCCCATTATATTTGGGTATGTCTGGCATACGAAACTTCTTTGGAATAGGCTTCGGAGCCGCACTTTGAGGAAACGGCTTTTGTACGAACTTCTTCGAATCTATTCCTTTCAAGATTGCCACTACCCCCGGTATCTGATCAACTCGAGAGTTGTATGTCTCCCTTTTTTTTATAATTGGCTTCAATTTTCTTCTCTCCTGACTCGATTCTCTTGGCGAGCTCCTCGAGCATTTTCATTACTGCAGGATCGGTCCCCGATCCATTACCATTCGAGCTCTCTGGCACTAGCTGGGTACGACAAGTGATTTCCGGCTCAACCCCACTCAGAGTTCTATGTTGATTTTGAAGCTGAGCGATAGCGGCCTGCTGAGCCTGTAGCATCTCGAATATCACCTGGAGATTAACTCCTCCATCTCCTTCGCCCTGTGTACCTTGGCCACCAGATCGGCCTTCCCTGTGTACACTCCCTTCGGGGTCCGTGCCCAGGTCCGCATTTAAAGCAACATGCGAACTGATCAATCGGATCGGCAACTGGTGCTTCCCCGAGATTAACCGGTGGCACCTCGGCTCCTGGAGAAATTATATTGTCGTTCTCCCCATGAAACCCGAGACCATTATCACCATGTGCGGGGTGCATTTTGTGAGTTTAACATGTTTTAATTTGAAAGCAAAAATACTTGACAAGAACAAGCGTGAAATAATGAGTGTTATCAAAATCAACAGTGAACAATCACTATTATCCTTAGCCCCATAGTGGGCGCCAAACTGTTTACCCTAAAATTCGAGTAACAATTAAACTTATATTGTGATTTTAAGGATACGCGATTTAATCCAATACCAATTCATAAGCAAGAAAATAAATGAATTAATTAGAGAATAAAGTTAACCAAACCAGTGTATTAGCCGAGTCTCAACCTCGACTCGAGATAGCCTCGAGGTGGGATGGCAAAATAAAGCAACTCTGATGAATAGTAAGTGAAATAGCAGGAAAGTAATGAAAGTATGTATTCTTATTAGTGAATAATGATAATTAAAAATGAATGGGATCCCTATTTATATAATAGGGGAGTCCTAAATAAGGTACATTTCTAATTATAGTACGAAATCATATTAACATATAATTAACCACTGCAGATCGATCCGTTCCGAAATTTACGCCACGATTCTCGACCAATCGCGGATATCTCGCCTTTTCCGTTGTCAAGCCACGTCGGTGCCACTCGAAGTCTGCCTCCTTCTGTCCGCAATCGAGATCGACCTCGGGATGACTCGACGTCCTAGTTTTTCGACGTGACATTCCTATCTCGACCAAAGAATAAAATCGGATAGCCCCAACTTCTACCGTATACAGAAATATAAACAATAATTGAGGGATAAAAATGCGTACCTACAAAAGTGTTGGAAATGTTATTTTCAGTAAAACAACGTAACGTAAGTAGGTGTGTCAACTTCATAGGACGACGTTGACGAGATGCCACACCACAAATGAATCGTGAACGTATGTGCTGTCTTGATAATAAATGAGTAACAGAATGAAAGTTATTGATGACAACGAAAAGTAAGGGTATTGATTTTGTAGAGACGCGGCGAACCTGCAACGTGTCAACTCCTTGTACTGTACGCGGCGAATTGTCACTTCACCTTCCACCCATTATATCCTTTTTCTTTCATTAAAGAAAACATCTTCGTTCTTATCCTTTAAGCTTCTGACAATATAACAACTCATCTTTCCACCTTGTCTGAAAAAAGCTCTCTTTGATTTGTCCGTGCATGTACGGATCTTAGATTTAAACTTCATTACTGCATTTATGTTTTTGTATGAGTTATTTTTAGTTAGAATTTGAGACTAAGAAATTTAAATTTGGGTAAGAGATCAATAAATTTGAGACTAAGAAATTTAAATTTGGGTAAGAGATCAATAACTGCAACTTCATTCGATCATTGATGATTTGGGGTTATATTGATAATTTTGTGGGGTTGAAAAAAGAACAAATAATGGTGATCGGGAAATTTAAGTTTTTTTCTTTGGAGGAAAGGGAGAAATATTGTGTGGGTGTATTTGATGAAGAAGAAATGGAGGAACATAGTGAAAAGTCACCACCAGCTGAGGATGATCACTGTCCTATTTGTTTTGGGGACTTCACAATTCCTTGCAGGACAAACTGTGGCCACTGGTTTTGTGGTACTACTACTTTCGATCCTTCTTTGTTTTTTTAATTTCTACAAATAATATGTTTGTTAAAGCCTCTAATATAACTTCCCGCTATGTACAATCTCATAATACAATTTTGTTGACATGAAGAATTCTATTTGATCTAAAAGTCATATAAGTTGCAGTAATTGTATGTTTTCCTTATCACCCTCTTTTGCCCTGTATTCTGCAGCATCTTGCATATTGCAGCTATGGAATTATAGATCAACATTACAGCGGTGCAAATGCCCCATATGCTGTCGTCCCATCAGTAAGCTGGTTCCAGAGGATTCTTTAGTTGTACAACAGGAAGAGGATGGTGTTGAACTCCTTAAGAACATTCGCCGATACAATCACCTATATGTAGGTGGTGCTTATGGTGTGTTTCTGGTAGGTAATTGGTTACACTTCTTCTGTAACTTCTCTTTTTCTTACATATTTTAGTTGTGACTTCTTTCCTAATTGATTGTTTTTTAGACTGTATTAGCATCTTCAGCGTTAAGGCTAATTGGCTAATTGATCTGCAACCATTAATAATGGAGCTTATGATAATAGGGTATTGACGCGCAACATATGTGCTCTCTGTACAAATACAAATTGATTCTATTACTTATGATATATGAATCATTTCTCTGTTATCAGTAGAAATACAAGATTGTCCATATTTAGTAGGAACTGAATAGAGATTTCATCTCGTAGGAAGTACACCTAGAAAGACGGGAAATCTTGTGTTGCAGAAGATTGTCTATATTTAGTAATTTTGGATATTTTGCAACGGAGGAGATAGCCTTTTTTCCCTTTTCTTTGTGTGTGTGCTGTGTTTGGGTGGGGGTGAAAGATCTCATGCTTTGTACAACAATTGTAGACTAAGCATCATCTTCCAAAGTTCTTGTTCTGAAGTGTTACTTGAGTGTTCTATGGTTATAGGTTATAATCCAACATTGAGGACCTCAATTTGAGGTGCGTCCGCTTACTTAATAAAAATAACAATAGCATTCCCGTGCATCGAAGTCTAGTTTTGCTGACTCTGATTCGCTATAGCAAATGCTTTGGAGAAATTTTGTCAAGGTTAGAAAGAACTCACCTATTACGAGTTACCTTCGAATTTCTTCCTTGAGAGTAACCCTAAAAAATAAAGCGAGTAATGGGTCAGGAAGTGATACAAACAGATATCTAAACTTAGATTCTTACTTTTGGTTGCATGTCGTTTGGCTGTTATGTGGTAAAGTAGCTATACAGGGATATCCCTTGTGGATGCAAACTGCTTCTTACCCATTATGGTCTCATTTCTGAAAGAACTAATCTTGTAACATGGTTAACCAGACAGGTAGTGTAGGCGGTCTTAGTATCACGAGTTTATTTTAGCACAGCCTGAATTGTTTGCCTGTGTTAGTGCCTGGTAACCAATCCTTGAAGAAGACTTCAAGTAAGTTAAAGGGATATAAGGGAATAGAATTGCTGATGAATTCCATCTTGTGTGCACCAAATGATTGAGGTTTTCCAGATGAGAGCTTGTCACAAACCCTTCCTTGGCCTGAGCAGCTCAACTATATTCAGTTTAAGTTTTATATTGCTAAACTGTTTGTTGACTGAAGTCATTTTTGAATTGCCTGAGCAATATTTCAAGATCTTTCAAGACGCTAGTCTTGACAGCTAAATTAATTCCCTGGCTAAAACAATATGTTTGGTTCACCACTTTTGTTGTACATCTACGGTGGATTTAACAGTTAAATCTCTACAATCTTGGCATATTAAAGTTCTGCATCACCAATCTTCATTTGAAAACTAAAGAGAAGCATTAGAAACATATATAATGTAGGAGAGCAAGTTCAGTGGAGTTGGATGTTTGCTTGTTATATAATGTTCTGCTGCTCTTTTGAGCCCTTGATTTCTCTCAGGGGTTTAGGGCGAGTTATGTCCTTTACCTGGTGATATTATCAAAATAGTAATAAAAATTTTAGCCTCAATTTCAAGTGTAAGTATTAATCATGCATACACACAGCCTCTCACACATTCATGTGTACCACAGTAAATTGTTTGAGTTTACTTCATCAAAAAAGGAAATTGTTTGAGTTTAAAACTTTAGAATCAAATGATTCTTCCAAGTTCTGATTTGATGGCTTCTCTTTTTTCCTTCTTTACAGAAACTAGTTGCATTGCCACTGCTAATGCAGAGAATTCTCCGGTCATTGATGAGCAAACTGATGGATCCTGATCATGTCAAGTTAAATTGTTATGTACTGCGCCTTTTTGCTGTAAGTCCATTGAACATTTAATTAACGGCATTGTAATAACTTTTTGAATTCTTGCTTCCACTTACACAAAGGTAAAGGACAAGTACATACATTGAAATGATTGGAGGTCTATAAAGATGGGTGTCTGAACTTTAATGCTTTATGATTTCTGCAACAGTATGTAACCGTACCGAATAGACGCTTCTGATAGATTCCTTAGACCACCTTTTTTAAGGCCATAATATTTAGGGCGTGATAGCATATATTCTTTCAGGCCCTCCTAAGAGAATTTTAGCAGAACTCTCTGCATAATTGTAGTTACATACTTTTCTCATATTTGGCATGGGTGGATCCAGAATTTGTATAATATTTTTAAAGTTGAACCTAAGTACTTTGCAATGCAAAACCAAAGACCATCCACAGTTATGAAGCATTTCTTCACGGTGTATATATTGCTTTGTGATATGAATGGTCCTTACTCGAGTATCTATTATTATAATTATTTGCTTTTAGTAATATCTTTGTCTTAACTGCAGTTATTGCTGAGTTGGATCTACAGCAGCTGGAAGTTTGAGTTTATTCCTACTGGTACTATGCTTCACTCTAATATATAGAGAATTAGATGTATAGATTGGAAATCTATTATGTGGAAGCCAAGCCTAGTAGGCTGCATGACCATCTGAATGCGTAAAACCTTGGGTGGATAAGATTAAAAATCTTCCTTTCAAAGGGGTAGCTAGTTTTGAAATCAATCATCCAGTAACATGTGATTTTGGTGATTCAGGTTGGAACCTAATCAAGAACTTGAAGTTATTTCTTTAGCTTCTTAACTGTTTTATTCAACCATTCTACTCGTACAATTACCTCCTTTGGTGGCCCTTTTGGTAACCAATTGTGAGAAATATCCAAGTTAGCAATCTTGAAACATGATGATTTCTGGTGTGGCCTAAAATGAGCATTTTTGCACTGAACTCATTTACCAGTTCCAGAGTCCAATTTAGTTATGCACAGAGATTTTAATCTCGTTTGAACCTATGTTGACAAAATACTCTCTTTTGCAGGACGTCTGGGAATATGGAGACTACTTGACATTTGTGCTATGGCCTTTGTGGCCATTTTCTATTTGGCTGGCCTATTCCATAGATGGATACTTAGGCGTCATGTGAGGTTAGCTGTTTTACAAGCTCAACCGAGTTAAAAGTCCATGCTATGAATAGATTTTGCAGTTTGATAGTCGGATAATGAGCTTATATGCTGCGACATGGACTTTGTGGATTCATGTAGCTGACCCCAGCTTGTTTGAGATTGAGACGTAGTAGTAGAGTTGTTGTAGAGTTGAACAACGATTAGAGCTATTTAGCTTGCTGAAGATGTTGTATAGAAGGTCTGTTTAAAAAGATGAAAGGAATTAACTCCTACTGTATAGGCCATGGCAGTCACCCTCTGAGCTGCAGATTATATGGATTAGGTATAAAGTAATACAGATGTATGTTTTTGGGGGAAAAAACAATCTTCAGCATAATGTGTTCCCTCTGCTTCTTCCATAACTACTGAGCTTCAAGTAAAGGTTCTTTTTGTTCCATTTCCAAGTTTTATTCAGGTAATGCATTGAGGTTATTGTTTACTGCATTTTGGAGTTGTATAACTGACCTAATATGAATGCAAAATGCCTTTTTTAACTGAAGCATATGCCTATGCAGAGATCAAAGTGCATCTCCTTCTTAATTAACGAACGTACATTAAAAAAAAAAGTGAATTTTTTAAATTTAAAATGGTATTTGAAAATTAGAGTTGTGTTTGGACATTAATATAATTTTGGGTTGTTTCGAATTTTTGTGAGTGATCTGAGTAAAAATTTTAAGAAATAGTTTTTTTGGAGTTTTTAAAATTTTATGGTCAAATACTGATTTCGAAAAAAGTAAAAAATTCTTATGTTCGAATGGGCTCTTACTTCCTTTTTTTTTTTTTTTTTTTGTTAAAATGTGCAGTGCTACGTGCTTTAGTGTTGCTACTTGTAAGGGATCTTAATGTCTTATTTCCTTTTGCACAGGAATATTCACTTTGAATTTTAAGGAGAATGTTAGAAACCATGTTTATTTTTATTCTGAAGAACCTATGCCCATGCACCTGTCCTTCCATAGTTGTGAGTTTATTTATAATCACGATTATTGTCATAATTAGCAAGGTTTAAACTTTTAAGAAAATATTTTGAATTGGGAGGACGAATCAGTGAACTGAGTGTACACCAAACCAAATAGGTGATAAGTAGTGGATACTAGTATCTTTTAAGAAAATATTTTGAATTGGGAGGACGAACCAGTGAACTGAGTGTACCCCAAGCCGAATAGGCGATAAGTAGTGGATACTAGCGTATTTGAGAAAATCATGTCAAAGGAACTCAGTAACCGTCACTTCGGAAAAAGAGGTGCTCTCCTCTTTTTTTTTATACAAGTGGCTAAAAGGATTTTTTGTTACATAATTTAGTTATGTTTTATGATTTGTTTTGAGATTATTATTGATTCTTGGTCGATGATAAGTGACGTACTAGCGAGTTATGTTGTTTTACAACAACAACAACAACCCAGTATAATCCCACTTAGTGGGGTCTGGGGAGGGTAGTGTGTACGCAGACCTTACCCCTACCCTGAGGTAGAGAGGCTGTTTCCAAATAGACCACCGACATCCTTCCATCCAAGAACTTCCCACCTTGCTCTTGGGGAGACTCGAACTCACAACCTCTTGGTTGGAAGTGGAGGTTGCTTACCATCAGAGCAATCCCTCGTGACTCGAGTTCTGTTGTTTTGTTCACCCTAATATATGAGGAGAAAAATATTTTAAAACTAAATTGATTTTTGATATGGTAAGTTTCTTTACTAACTATGGTAGCATTTTGTCTTAAATAGCACAATTAGAGTCTTTTTTTCTTGCATTTCGAGTAATCAATGAAAAGAGTGAATTTCACTTTATTCCCTTAACCTTTAAGTGTTGGAAAAGGATGTCCTCTCGATCTTTTGAATATGAACGATAGCCCCCTTATGGAATATTTTCTTGTGAGACTAAGAACTTTAATACAAAGAAAAAAAATATTATTGTCTTTTTCTTTATTCTCTTAAATATTTCTTTTAATCCAACATCATAAAAATACCCGAGCAAAATTGCTAGTCACCTCGGTTACTGTCCTTCTTTACCTACTAGTAGGAATAGTTCGGGCTTTGTCCGGGCTCAACGTGAATAAAGCTATATTATTTTCAACAAGGAATGAGTTTGTGTCTAGAAGAGAAATAAAAGATTACACATCTGCTACAAAAATGTTACTTATTTCTAATTCATATGTTAATATGGCTTTCTCGTAACACCTGCTGATATGGAGCTGTGTAAGATGGCAGTAATTAGAATTATTATTAATAAAGGTGATAAATTATTACGTCAATAAACTGTAGCAACACTGAAATAAATTTAGCAATTAAATAATTAGGAAATATATCTTCATGGATCAATTTCTAGCCTAAGCACTTGTGGATCATGTTGATAATTTAGAACCAGTCAAAGAGGTAACATGTTTGGTGTAGACATGTATTATATTACCCAATGTGCTTGTATAGAAGGCATCAACAGGAAATAATTCTACTGTCAGTGATATAGATACCTTATATCGTACAAATAATTTTATTATTAATCACTTGCATAAATATACGTGTGAGTCATGTCAATGTTTAGTTTTAAATTACAAAATGAACTGTAGCCTTCTTCTAAATATTCAGATTGGTAAGAGTTCTGAAGCTGGTTTAACCAACAGTGTTTTGCGCTCGTCAAAATTTGGCGTTGCCAATCTTTCTAGCTTGATTGATATCAAGGAGGATCAATAGTTAAGATTTATATGATTATTAACTAAAATTTAACTAAGAAACTAAAGCTATTGACTAGTTACTATCGAGACAAGGAATAAGCAAATAAAGTTATCAGTGGGAGAAGATTGGGTTTTGATAGGATATGTGCAAGATTATTGTTTGAGATCTATCTCTAGATAATTCACTTCTAATATTCAAGTGAGTATCTCGAATTCATTTAATTCTTAGCTCATACGTTAAGCAAAAACTCCTCTCTCGATTAAGTCTTAACCTCACGAGATGAACCAAATTCAGTACTGTGAAGATATGCAAGAATGTGTAGTGGATTGGTCTTTAGAAAAACCTCTTTCGATTATTCTCCTAACTAGGTTTAATCAGTGATTCAACCAGCCTCTTTCGATTACTTAGAAGAATCTATGAACTTAACCAACAATATAATGCAAAGATATCACAAGTTATGCCTCTCTCGATCACATGAACTAGTGAATATAGATGCAACAATTAAATTATCCAAAACGATTCAATACATAAAACTAGAGTTATAATCCACAAACAATCATCAATACACCAAATCCATCAAACCCTAAGGTGAACTACTCCATAGACATGGAGAAATTCATCACAAATATAATTAAAGTATAGAAAAACATAAATTCAATCCAAACTCGGGTTTTGAGTGAGGAAGGAATGATGAACTCATTGTGCTTGTGTTCTTCCAACTTCTCCATAGCCTCCTTAGGTTGAAAGTAAGTCAAAAGTCCTCAAAATAACGTGTTTCCTTGTATTTATACCAAGTAGGATCGGGCCTGGACGAAATCACCCTTTTCGAGCCAAAATAGGAAAATAACTCTGGGAAACATACACATGCGTGTCGCCCCATTAGTGGGACTTATCAGATAGCTCACAAAATTGTCAAGCAATTATGGCGCCCCACGCACGCCATTACAGTGTGTTTTCCTCAGAGTTATTCTTCAACCTTGAATTTTGATATCCATACTTGGTCCTCGACCCCCGAACACGATTCTGACTTAATCCTTCGAGATTTTACTCAGACTTCAAAGCTCGAATTAGCTCCACAACATCTACATAACTCGGAATTACTCCTACAAGGCATAAAACACACAATAAGTGTAAAACACTACTAACTAAAGCTCAAACACAAGTAAAGTGTAGTGAATTAGAGTGAAATAAGTGACTAAAATATGAGATTATAGCCTAACATCAACACCCCATACTTAAACCATTGATCTACCTCGAGCAATCAAACTGCACTTCATATAGATACAATATTTTTTTAAACAACTCTCTTAACTCATCATACCAAGAATAATTAAAATAGATTAAGCACAATACTGTAACATCCTAGCATCAAGATTTGACTCAAAAGCACCACACATTTTTTACAATCCTCTCACTTACTCTAACACAGAGGTCAATGACATTACCTTTCCTTCGTGAATCAAGTTACCTCACACAACAATAGAGAGTAGTTCCATACACAATAAAATTTAAGAACAATTAGGAACTCAAGATAGAAAAAATTCACTCACTCTCAAATGTAACATCCATATGCCACAAAATATGTACCATAGGCTTGCCCGTAGTGTACTACTCTACTAATTGAGCTCATTCAGTCAAAGATCAAGTAGAATTTTATTTGGTTGTAATGTAGGCTGCCGGATGGGTAGGATACATTTAGATATAAGAGAGATTATACCTCCCTAATCACTTTAATACATACAATTAACCATTCAAAACCTCACACTTATGTCAAACTATAACTCCACCTTCATATCAATATACATCAACTCTCTACTTCTTTAACACAATTATATCAAGAGTTACCACTAACAAGAAATATCTTTCGCAACCATACAACTACTTTTTTTCATTTTCTTTTTCAATTCAAGTGGCTCTCACTTTTTAAAATAGTGCACCCTTCTTCTTATTTCAATAGTTCCACTCAAAAGCCAAACCAACACCCTATACTTTAACTTTTACAAAGTTCATGAAAAATCCAAGTGCTCACAAGAAGTAAAAGGTTTAAATAGATGGTCAATAAATTGGTAAGACTTGTATTGTGGTTGCCAAAGAAACATGATTATAGGCTCAAAGGGGTTAACTAAGATACATAACAATTAGGTGAGTGAAAGCATACAACTAGCTCAACAAAGAAATGCCTATATCATTTCCAGACTAAATAAAACTACTATTTCGCTTTGCAAATACGGGCAAGTTCTAAATATCAAATGCAATACACAAAATAACACAAAACCTCACACATACATGGCACATAACTCACTCAGGATCGGACTCATCAAGACACTCTAGTCAAAACAGTTAAGCAAAGTTAAGATCATACAATTTGAGGTACTTATACATGAGTCAAAAACTGAGCCTAAGCGTCACAACTAAAGCACTTACTATTCTCAAGGCATAATAAATCTAAGAGATATTGCTTTCATCTTAATTCCTAGAGCAAGGTTTCCTACTCCAAAAAATATAAAAACTAACTACACCAGATTCAAGTAAAACTCTTGAAAAAAGAACTACGGCAAAAAGAAAAACTAAGGGGGACTTGTTACACTACCTAACAAAAGGAAATATTTTTGTCTTTTTCCTTCGACTTTAATCCCTCAAGAAACCCTTCGATGATATCCATCGTCGGAAAAAATTGAAAACTTTAATTTTTTTTCCAATCGATTTTTTTCTATCTCCTACAACTAACAAAAAG